GCGGTGGGAGCGGGCGAGCAGCTGAGCCTGCGTGGGCGACGCCTTAGCTCAGCCCCTTGCCTCACTCCCGGCCCTTGCGGCTGTCTGCCTCATGCCCCTTACCCCAGCCTTTCCGCTGCTGCCTTCTCGCCCCTGCCGGCCCTGCGGTGGAATATTGCAGCCGGCCCTGGAGCCAGGAGCCTGGGGGCAGACTTGCTCCTGGCCCAGCCCTCTCTCCATCTGGGCAAACCAAGCTGACCCCGTGTGTGTGTCCTCGCTCCCTTGGCTTTCCTTGGGTGCCACCTGAATGGGCAGGGCACCCCGTGTTCCTGGCAGCCCCTGCGAGCCAGGGAGCTGTCAGGGCTGGGACTGGGAAGGGGACTCCATGCCCTGGGTTCCCAGCTGTGCCCAGGATGGGGGGATCTGGGGCTTGTTGGGGGGCCAGGGTATAGGGGGCCCTGCGATTTTTGTTGCTGGTCGGTCCTGGTCTCCTCTGGCCTCTGGTCTTATTGCAGGCGTTTGTTTCTCAGCGGAGGCCGCACCCGTGGGCGGGAGCTGTGTTACTCCCCCTTCCGGCTCACACCCTATCCCAGGGCCAGCCCTGCTGCCTGCTCATTGCGGAGCGCATCCACTCGGGTTACGAAGGTGAGCCCAGGGACAGGGAGCAGGGGGGATCCCTCCAGAGGCCCCTCCTCATCCAGGGCAGTTGGGGGGAGGGGGCTTTGCCCCATGGGGTCGGGAGGCTGCCCCCAGCCTGGCCTTGTGGAGGCAATTGGGTCCCAAACCTCAGCCTGTATCTCCCCTACCAGCTCCCCGGATCCCACCTGATAAACGGATCTTCACCACCCGGCACACGCCCAGCTGCCTGTTCCAGGATGTGGATGAGAGGTGAGGAGGCTGGCCGAGCCTGGGGGAGGGGGCAGACATCCTCTGTCCATCTCGGCTGCCACCCATGCCGGATGCAGCAGCCAGTGAGGCTTGAAGGGTCCCTAGCGGGCCGGTACTGCCCCCAGTCGACTGTAGCCAGGCTGCAGGACCTGTCGAGGCTGGGGGCTGGCGGAACCCACTCGGGGATAGCCACTCACTGAGCCTACCTGTTTTTCCCCAGGGCGGCCCCCTTGCTGGGTTACCTCCCCCAGGATCTGATTGGGACGCCCGTCCTCTTCTACCTGCACCCGGAGGACAGGCCACTCATGCTGGCCATCCACAAGAAAAGTGAGTGCGGGAGGGCCCAGGAGGATAGAGAGGGAAGAACCAAAGGATTGTTCTCTTTTGCAGCTCTCGCTTCAGACCCTGACTCTAAACCACTCCCCTGCTTCAGGGCTTTGGCCGGGCACCTGCCAACGTGATCGGGGCTTTTTCCCCACCTTCCTCTGAAACGCCAGAGCTTGGCTCCAGGGTGGCTGGCACAGAACTCCTCTCCCGAGCCTTCTGGGGGGCAGGGCTAGCTCACTTCCTTGGGGGCCAAAGGATCACCAAGTGTGGGGCTGGAAGGAATTGTCCCTCCCTGATCAGCCCGGCTTTGGGGCAGTTGTCACCAGTTGGAGTAATTTGGCTCTGTCTTGCCTAATCGGTTCCCTGCATTGGAGGGAGCCACAGGCAGCAGGAGCTGGGAGCCAGGGCTCCTGGGTTCTCGTTCTGTCTTGGAGGGGAGTAAGGGCTGGTGGGTTAGAGCTGGCTGGAGGGGAGTGGGAACGGAGCCAGGACTCCTGGGTTCTCTCCCTAGCTCTGGGAGGGGCGGTGTGGGGGGGTGTCTCCGACACTGACCCTTCCCCCACTTTTGCCCCTCAGTTCTCCAGTACGGCGGGCAGCCCTTTGACCACTCCCCCCCCCGCTTCTGCACCCGAAATGGCGAGTACGCCACTATTGACACCAGCTGGGCCCGCCTTGTTCAAC